TCAAACAAGCCAAAAGGAGTCGTCACTGCCGTTTTGGGAATGTCCTCAGCCGCAATCGGAATTTGATGAAAAGCCCGCACCAAATCGATCTTCGAGAAAATGGTTTTGCCGAAAAGGGCTCCAGCAAAGTCCTGAAGATGAGGAACGGGGTACCGATCAGGCATAGTGATCTTGTTTAGGGCTCTATAATCGCCACAAGGACGCCAATCATCCGTATTTGGTTTAGGAACCATGTGCAAAGGAGATGCCCAGGGACTGTCAAACTGTCGAATAATCCCTAGTTGCAGCATGTGGTCAAATTCTGCTTTAGCAGCCGCAAGACGCGCGGGAGCAAGACGGCGGGGACGAGAGAAAACGGGAGGACCAGTCGTTTTTGTGTGATGAACAATATCATGGGGAAATGAGGTGTCAGAAAAATGGGGCTTAGTGAGGGTAGGATATTTTGCCAAAAGTCTACGAAATGGACAGTCAGGGTTTGGGTCAAGGACGGAGAGCTGGTTAGAAGTTGAGGATGGAGGAAATCCTTTGACGGTGAGGGTAGTTGCGCGATCATGGAGGCGAAGTTGCCTGCAATCCACCAGAAGGCCAAAGGCGGCCAAAAAAATCAGCACCAAGGATAGCGGTGGGAACATCAGCAACCACAAATATCCAGGGGAATAATCGCCGGAGGCCAATATCCAGGGAGAGGGATCGAAATCCAAAGGTTGTAATGGGGGATGAGTTTACGGCTTGAAGGTAAAGACCATGGTTTGGGCAACGTCGGTCGGCTGGCGTGGGAGGGATAACACTACTTTGAGCGCCAGTGTCGACTAAAAAATGCCTGTCACTCGTGTTATCACTTACGTAAAATGTGCGACCCTTAGAGTTGCCAGAGAGCTCGGCCGCATTTACTCACCGGCCGAGGAGTTTCCCTGCGTGGACTTAAAGGAGCAGGGTGGGACACAGCACCGCGCCTTGTCGCCATAGTTGACATGATGCCAACATAGGTTGGCGGTCCTGGGGTGAGAGCGGGAACGACGACGGTCACGGCCGAAGGAACGTCGAGAGGGACCGGGGCATCGGCGCAGCTGCAAAGCGGCACCAGTCGCTGACAACTGGGCAATCTGCGTCTTTAGTTCAGTCAGGTCAGAGGTGGACACGTTGAGAGGCTGGGACACCTGAGCAATCGTCGGGGATGACAAACGCTCAACCTCCATCATACGGTCAGCCATCTGCGCTAACTTGGATATTTCTAGGTCGTCGGAGCCAGAGGCCAAGATTGTTTGTACCGACGTCGGCAGACGTTCTAAGAACATCTCTTTAAAGAACTTGTCGTCGATTTTCATGTTGCCAACCAGAGAACGCATACGACGCAAGAGTTCCGACGGCTTGCGATCACCTAAGGCCTCCTCTTTTACTAGTGCGTGATAACGCTGCCGATCGGAGACTGATGTCACGCGAAGAAGTTCAGCCTTTAACTTGGTGTAGGGAGCATCAGTCGGGGGATCTCTCAGAAGCGTCTGCACTTGAGAAAGAATGGTGGGAGGGAGGGCCTCGACCAGCTTATAAAACTTGTCGGTTTCACGTGTTATCTTGACGGAGTGAAAAGTCGCCTAAATACGGAAAAAATAAAGCTCTGGCGCATGTTGCCAAAAGTCTGGGAGAGACGAAACAAGTCCACTGAGAGAAGTAGTTGGATCGTTGGAATTCGTTGAGGTGATGATTGTAGAAAGAAAGAAGGCAAACGGGCGGTATGCAAATAGAAAGTCCACAAATTAAAGGTATAAGCGTGAACGTCAAGGGGTCACCACTGTGGCAAACGCTAAAGACAGAGCCGTCAATCCCAGACTATGAAGATCAGAATAAGACCAGAGGTATGAGAGAATTAACAATCAAAGGTCAAACGACCTGACAATCCAACTCATGCCAAGCTCGTCGCGTCGAGTTGTGTTCCTTCCATTCAGTTAAACAACCAGTAAGTTCAAGAATGAGGA